CAGCTTCTGATTCTGCCTCAGTCCTGGTTTTTGTACAGTGTGCATCTCCCACAGCCTCCATCCTTTCACGCTCCTCTTCCAGGAATGAGTTTTGCCTCCTCTCCGTGAGCTTCCTTGGTATTGCTTCTCTGAGCACAGCTTTGTGAGGGGGCAAGTGAAGGAGGTTGGAAATGCCTAGGCTGGAATAGTTACCAAAAACTTTCCAAGTTCAAATATTTTCACTTTCATTTTCTTTTTCTTTTTAACCCAATAAAACCAAAACTATATCTAGAAGTGTCACCCCTATTATCACACCATCCTTCCTGTTTCAGTTTTGTGCTTTTAAACCAAAAAGCATGTAAGATTGCATTTTATCTTTGTAAAATTAAAGTTTCCATATTTCTACAGGACAGAAATCACATTGCCATCTCTCATATCACCTAGTACCTGTGTCTCTGCATTGAAAATACTGAACATTAAACATGTATATGCCTATCTGATATGTGAGCCAGCATGACATCTCATCCCCTGGTCCTCTCACTAGCAGTTAGTATTTGTGTTGCCTATATGCTTCATTTATATTCAGCTGCTCCTTCCAGCTCTTCTGTCTGTGAATTAGAAAAGTTATTTTTACAACATCCAAGGATATAAAAACTACAACCAGATTGTAACTCTAATTTAAAAACAGTTGCATTTGGGAGTTTTGAGCACAAGGTTTGTTTGTGATTTTATTTTAATTTTTCGTTAAGTTTTTGTTTCTAATCACAACTATGTGGCCATCGTTTCAAAGTTTATGATCTGCGCCTTTTGACAATGTGTTTCTTTCCTCTTTTCTGGGACATTCAAATCTTTATACTTCAACCATACTTTGAATAATTGCCTAAAACATTTTATATGAAAAATAAAATGCTCAACAGTTCCTGCTATAAAAATAATAAAATCTAGAGTCTTCATTTAGCTCAGGTGACAAGGTCTTCCACAACTCATTACACGTCACTACTCTATGCCATAACTGCAAGCCTTGGGCAAGAATGGCTAATGATGAGCACGATGCAGTGCTGTCCAGATGCTTCTTCAAAATTGAGGCTCTCATTCTGCCAGCTGATAGGAGCATTGACTGGTGAAGGCTCATAGCTTTGTTCCTCTGTGCTAAACAGCTGAAGGGAAGCACTTCACTCAAGGACACACTTCCTTCTTAGGGACAGCCTGTGTATACTGAATAATAGATGCAGATATTAAGGCCCTAACTCCTAGCTTCATGGAAGGACAAATCTGTAGGCTGATCCAGGCTCTCACATTCTCCATGGACCCTTCAAGACTTTGGTTTTGCCTACATCATAGATCTCACCCAGGGACTTCTTTAATCTCTCACAGGTGTTAATCACTAGGACACTTCTCAGTAACTTCCTTTGTACAAAGTTGTTTCAGAATCTGTTGCCTAGGCAACACATCCTCAGTTGATTGTTTCATGGGGAAGGGGAAGAAAGATCACCACTTGGTCATGTAGCTGTCACAGGTGAAACATTCCATAATCATTCCATGGTAATGGAGATGATTATTTTACTTGGATTACATCAGAAAATTTAATCAAGTTTTTGGCTTTTTTTTTTCCAGAATAAGTGGCATTTGAGCTTCACCTGTTAGACTAAGCAGACATTTTCTAGGCCGAGTGTAAAGTGGTCTGGACAGTGGTTTACATCTGTAAACTCTTTTTTACAGATGTAGCAAAGAGCTCAGTATTATAGCTAGAAGGTGAAGCCCATGTGAGAGTCAATGGGAATGAAAGGAAGCCAGGTCGCAAAGCGCTCTACTGATTGTGAAGATCCTTAACCTGAAGTGTTCTCTTCTGACATCTGCCCAACTGTCAAGCCTGGCACCATGATTCACATGTAACATATGACCTGAACAGACTTACAGATATCCCTCTTCCACGGGTTCTATTGAAGTCTGTTTACTTCAACACCTTGTTCTCTCTCTCTCTCTCTCTCTCTCTCTCTCTCGCTGTCTCTCGCGCTCTCACTCTCATTTCACTTTAGCCTCTTTCAGGAAGGCTTAATATGTGCATGAAGAGTACAGTTTTTTGTCAGACAGTAACTATTTTAAGGTACAAAACTTTACATTGTGATGCTTAAAACATTATGATTAGAAGTTTCTAAATGCATAACTTGGAAGGCAGAGTAAACATAAGGCCAGGTTTCTAACAAGTGAGCCCTACTTTTAAACTTCTGACAAGGAATTAGCCATTTGTTTCTACCACATGTCTATTAATGGAAACATTGGCCTTTTCTTGTGTTGTAACTAGTACTGATAAATAAAAACAGCAAAAGCACAGAATTGGAATTAGTCGCCATCTTGCCATCGAGAAAACAGATACAGAGCGAAGAAATTATCTACTGAAGACTATACAGTATTGGCAAAGCCAAAAGGACAGTTCATATCTTTATTTAACAAGTTCTCCTTTTTATGGCTCCAAATGAGTTTCTTAGACCACTCTCAGAAATACTGGAGTCAGGAAAGCAAAGTACCCCTCCCTCCCCTCATGAGCTCCATGGCCCAGTGGACCAGTCAGCTCTCATCTGTTTGTTGACTCACCTGTGAAATGAGAGTCCAAACTAGAGGAAATGCCCAAACCCTCCAGCCTGACAATGTGAAAGATTTTCCTCTTCAAGAGAAACTGTGTTTAAGGAGACTAGTGGGCCAGCTGGACACTAAAGGTGGGAAATACAGTAAAGGGAACTGGCTACTAGAGGTTATGGTGCCCTTTGTCTTCCATCAGTCCAAGCCAGCTGCTTTCTTGGAAGCATCATTTTTCTGATTTGGGAGCATTTTTCATGAGGCTAATTTTAGGCATGTCGTATAATTTTTTTTCTTTGTATAATAACTGTCCAGATTAGCTGCCCTTTGAATGGAGCACTCGTAGGCCAAAATGTTTTCCCTTGGAAGCTGACTAAGCCTTATATGTTGCTCCTGGTTTTATATAAATGAGCTGAATCCTGGAGCCAAGCCTTAATGCAAACAAAAGTCATTTTCTGGTGAAGCATTTTCTGGATTATTCAATCTATTACAGGGCTAGAATTTTTTTTTTAAAGTTAAAATGCACAGAGAAGCACAACATAAGTCCTTGGAAGACAATGCGCAGTCACATTAGCTCAGATCACCCAAGTAGAAAACAAGCAGGACTGTCATTCTCCAGACCGTCATCAACTCCAGACTTGCATCCTGTGCTACTCTGCTATTTTAATTTCACCACTTCAAAATGCAGAAAAAATAGGTTAATAGTTTCCACGAGTTTAGACTGTGACCAAAGGCGTACCAAGCAATTTCAGAGCCTCAGACAACCACAGCTCATGGGAGAAGATGATGATAGATTTACCAGTTCATCTTGGGATGCATTCCAGAGTTGGAGGACATGGACCAGCACTGTGCTGCCATGGTAGAATTAAATTATTCCTTCATTCATTCTTTAGGTATGCATTCATCTCCAGCCTGTTTTAGTCCAAGCAATATACTGGGACAGAGAAACGTATTCTTAAGCCATGTTCCTTTCCTTTAATGCAATTACATTAGAGTAATGAGGCACACATGCTAAAATTTTGTAAGGTGAGTAAATAAAGGGAAGAAAAAGAAGCAGTGCATTCCAAGAAGAGCCATCAGAGAAGCCTACATAGGTTAGAATGGGAAACTGAAGTCTGTGTAGTTGTAAGCCAAGATGCAAACATTAAGTTTTTCCTGAGAATGAATGAGAGTGAACAATTTGCTTGGATGTTATGAGGAGGTGATCCTAGACAGAAGGTTGGAATGCCACGACACGACTTCACTCTTTCTACAGTATGGAGCCATGAGGTTTCTTATCCGGAAAAATAGTTGACCACATCCTGTTTTTTGAAGAAAACTGGGCATCATTGTAGAGTTGTGAATACCCAGGGTATTTCACAGGGTTACAAACAAGGAAGCCATTGGAGAGAAACTGCCAAGGTCATCTTTCAGGACACTAGTTACCTCAATAAAGTCATTTAAAGATCCTGCAGTTAGAATACAGTTTACTCCCTAGTTTCCATCCCCATCCAGTTCTGTGTCTTTCTGTTGAGATTTACATGCTGTTTATTCCAGATTCCAATCAGTCTAGATACCCTATTAGGAGCATGACCTATCACAGATGAGAAAAGATGGTTGGAAGAGCACAGATCCTAGGGAAGGGTAGACTGTTGACTGTTGACTTTTTGAGTGCCGACTTGCTGAATCACAGCTCTTAAGGGTCGTATTCTAAGGCTCAACATATTTTTAAAGCCAGATAAATTGAGTGTCTTAGTTTACTTTCAAAACCAGTCTCCCACTTTGTTGAACATATTTATTAGGAGTTCATTTATTTTAAATTTAGAGATGAAATTCAAATTGAGATTTAAAATGTGGAGCTTTGATTTGTGCTCTACTGACAGTGCACACTTGTCTCAATTATAACACAGATAAAAACTTAGAGACAAACTTAGAGACCTCGGCAAGCCTACTAGATCCTTAATGGATGAATCAAATGTTGCATGCAATGGTAAAGCATTCTCCAAGTAGAAAATCTGCATGGTGTAGTTCAGATTTTTTACTTGGAGAATGCGGTATGGCCATGTACCACATCTAGCCTACTGCGGATTTTTGTAAATAAAGTTTTACTGGAGCACAATCAAGCTCTTTGTTTATGGACCCTCTGAAGCAGTCTTTGAACTATGTGGGTAAAATTAAGTTGTTAAAACAAAGCCACGGACACTTATTATCTGGGCGTTTACAAAAAGTTTGTCATCAGTCATGGTGAAATGGAATGGAATGCCATAGAAGTCAGATGGTGGGTGTTCTAAGACAATGTACTAAAGCGGATTAGCTGCCTACCAACTGGGTGACCTAAGAAAAGCATTGGACTTGTCTTTGAGCTTCATTCTCTAAGACAGTGGCACACACTACCTACCCTAGAGTGCTGTGATAAGCTCTGTAAGGTGCTCCTCTGGTCTCAGCCTAACACAGTTTTCTTTCCTCAGAATACTCTGGAGCAGTGCAATGTGTGTTCTAAGCCCATCATGGAGCGGATCCTCCGTGCCACTGGAAAGGCCTATCACCCTCACTGCTTTACCTGTGTGATGTGCCACCGCAGCCTGGATGGCATCCCATTCACTGTGGATGCTGCTGGGCTCATTCACTGCATTGAGGACTTTCACAAGTAAGCAGCCTGCTCTCTCTCCTCCAGCCTGCCAGTCCTCTTGGAGTCTATTCTTGTTGTGCATTGAGACTGTACCTACTTCACTCCCAGGATTTAGTGAGGCCATCCAAGAGTTTAGTTCCAATGCAGGAATTGCTATCAGAAGATCATTTAACCTAGTCTCCATTCAGGGCTTCTCCGAAACTTGTCAGTGTGCTATAGATATGGAAAAGTGGACCATGAACAAGATGTATGGCCATTAGCAAGTTCCACAACCTCTCCTAGCTCTTCAACTTAGTCACTAAACCAGCCTTGATCTAAAGGTCTCTCAACTGTGACAGCCTCTGCATGCCAGCCTCTATAGGTAGGAAGGGATAGCAGACAGGTGCAGAGGAAAACTTGGTCCCCCTTGCTAGCGTGGGAGGAGCCACTCATCCCCTTGCTAGTGTGAGTGGCAACTTCATGCGATAGCGCTCCCTTACCCTCCTCGCCCACCAAGGTCTTGTCTGCCTCAGGATATTTTCTAATGAAATTGATTAGTGCACTATTGTGTAGTCCTTTAAGGGTCAGAAAGTAAATTCTCCAGATCAAGGCTACTAAACCATGGACCTGGAAAAATATGGCCCCTCTTCATTTCCCTGATTTCAAGGTCCCTCTTCCCTCCATTATAACTGAAGGTTTTGAAAAAAAAAGTTGGTTTTGTATTTTTCTTTCTAAATATTTTATTATTTTTATTTTTATGTGAATGAGTATATTGCCTGCATGTATGTAAGCTGTGACGTGCAGTGCCTACAGAGGTCAGAAGAAGGTGTCAGGTCCCCTGGAACTGGAATTATGGGTGGGTGGTAGCTGCCATATAGGTACTAGAAACCTAACCCTGTTCCTCTGCAAGAGCTGCCAGTGCTCTTAACTGCAGAGCCATCTCTGCAGCCCCAGTTTTGTATTTTTCTTAATTGTATTTGTTGGTTGGTTAACTGTTTCATCACATTGTTTCAGGTATTTATGGACTAGATAGAAAGCCGCCAGTGTGATTTGCTGCTCACACTGGGTATCCTAGCTCCTGTTCACTGGGCAGTATCTTTGAGGACTGTTAGTAAGGCTCCCAAAGATGAAGCACAGTGCTCACCACTTTGTGTATCCGCTCTGAGGCTTCCAGGAGTGCTGTCTGTGGCTTAACTTTCACCACTGTTGATTGTCAACAGCCAGGAGGTACTTTCCACAAGCAGTTTGGGGACTTGAGACTCATATTTTTAAAATGAATTTCCTAACCACTCTCCTCTCCAAGTAGCAGGAAAGTAAAAACCTCACCAAAACACATGAGGCTGAATGAATTTCAAAAAACCCAGAAGCAGAATTTTTCAACCTGGATTAGACAAGGAAGGGCTTACTTTTAAAGGGCGGTCACAGCACAAATTGTACTTCATGTTATTGATATTTTTAGCTTATAATTACACATAAAAAATTCTGCATCTATTTAAGGGAAGGGAAAAGATACCAGTGGAGAACGTATTTCTGTCACCGCTTCTCTCCTCTCTCAGACTTTCACTAATCTAAGACAGACAGACAGATATAATCAGGGCACACACATTTGTGTTGTTGGAAAAGCCTGACATTACACCCCTCAATTAAAATAGGAAATCAGTTTTGACAATGTAAGCTTATAGCTATGCCACTTATCTTTCATTTCTAGTGGTGGGGAGCATAATTAGAGACTTGTGACTACTGACATAAGTGTGTGGGTCTGAAAGCTCCAAAAAAGCAGACTTCAGCAGTGGGAAAAAATATATATCTCAAGCCCCAACCCTCTCCCCACTAGTTCAATGCATGTGAACACAGAAATTATTTTTTAAAAAATAATGTCTGCACAAATGGCAGGTGTAGAGAGGAAGAGGCTTTTGATATTGCCCTTCTATGAATGGAAACATTTTCAGAACTCTTAGTTCTGAACCTTGAAAGTACTAGAACTGAGCAGCTAACAGTCCAGCGCAGAGTGGACATTGCACAGCCAGGGATGATAGCAAAGGGACATAACCCTTCTACAAACAGTTTTGGAGGGTTTATTTTTGGTCCTTCCAAATGGATCTCCTTTTGTAGGCTTTTAGAAAACACATTTATGTTTAATTCCACTCACATTTACAAACTTCCCTCTATTTGCCGGTAAATGTGCTGAATGCTGAAGGAGAAGCAGAGGCTGAAAGTCACCATCAGTGAGGATGTTGTGGGGAGGAAGCAGAGTGCGGACATAACAGCCATACAGGGCAGAAAGGGCAGCACCAGGACGCAGGCACAGGGAAGGCTGTCCTGTCCTGGTCAGAACAGATCGTTTGACTCTGCAGTCCAGGCCAGCTTCATGCCAGCAGAGCTGGAAGTGTTTGGTGAGAAATGAGGAGTGCTGGAAGGGCATATAGGCTGGCTTATTGGCAAATCCTCAAAAATGGCATCTCAGAACTTGTCACTTAAAGTACTAGTAGGCCTGAAGCCTTTCACAGACATAGTTGTAGGTAATTGCTAGAAACTCACTTCCCTGGCAGACTGACTACCACAGCCTACCCCTCTACTTTCCACTCATTTCACCAGACTAAACTTCAATGACTAAACTCAATACCATATCCTCTTTCTTTGACCTCACTCCTCCTTATCTCCATTTATGAATTCATGCCACCTCTGTATTTATTCTGTAAACCTGCTAGAGATAGTGCAGTCTGGTGTGTAATACAATAAATACATGAGGAAAGTTTTATAGTAGCCACCTTAAATAATTTTTATAACAAGATATACTATGTCTTTATAAAAGTTTAGAACAAATACAGAAATATAGTGAATTCCCTCTCAAGTCTGTGCTAGAGTCCTTTTTGAAGGACGTGTTTCCAGTGTTGGGTGCTGAGGAAGCCCAGCGAAGCAGCCTGGTGCTCTTCTCAGTGTGGGGGGCTTACATAACCACCTGTACTTTCTCAGCCAGATTGTGCCAGTGCTGTGACAGATACCTGATTAGGAAAGATTTCTCTGGGCACATGGCTTCTGAATTCTCAGTCCATAGTAGACTGGTTCAAGTTCTGGGCCTGTGGTGAGGCGGTATGATGGTAGAAAGGCATGGTAGGACAGAGCTGTTTACCTCATGGCTGCCAGGGACAAGCTATGCCCTTGAAAGGCAGGCCCTCCTTTAGCCAGACCCCACTTTCTAAGCCTCTGCCACCTCCCAATAATGCTATCACATTAGGACACCATCACTGGATTACTCCATTGATGAAGTCAAAGCTCTCATGAACTAGTCACCTCCCCAAAGCCCATCCTTGGCAACCAAGCCCCAAGTAGATGAGCCTGAGGGGGAACATTTCATATTCAAGCCATAACAGGGATCCATTTATTTGTTTAATTAGCATTCATCTGTTGATTGCCAAAAATATGTCTGATATGAGATGATTAAGTTTATTGCTCCCTTGACTGAAAAATAGAAGTGATAAAAGTACTTCCTCATAACATTGCTTATCAAGAGAAAATAATGTGTATAAAGTGCTTAACAGAACTTGGCACATACTAAACACTTAGTAAATAGTGGCTATAATCATCAAAACTGTTTTCATCCCATTTATTTTTATTATTATTATTATTGTCCACTTAGCAGCTAAGCATTAAAAAAGATCACCTGGGATTCCAAACTCTCTTGGAATTACCAGCCTAGGAACACCATAGGGACAGCATCTCTCTCTCTCTCTCTCTCTCTCTCTCTCTCTCTCTCTCTTTTTTTTGCTTTTTCCAATCATGGATATGAGACATATTTCTGAGAGAATGATTATATAACAAACACATAGTATAGCACTCTAGAGAGAAATATTTGGGGGACACATATA